TTTACCTTTCCAACATTTCCCTTTTATATTAGTTTAATTATTATAAAATATTTTTAAAGTTTCATTTTCAGTGAAAAACACGATAAATAAAATTGATGAGAAATAAAAATACTTTATAATAAAGGCTAGAGGCGTATCAGTTTTCATTAGTAAAAAGGGTTGAAAATCATATGTGACTAATTAATTTTTCAAGAAAATAATAATAGGCACATTCACATTACTAACAAAGTATGAAAAACAATCTCAATGGATGAGACGGGACGAATTCAAGCGGACTAACAGCCGTAGACAGTCTATAGGGTTGCATGCCCCAGACAAAATGTGATTTAGTATCATCTATGATATGGCACTTTTAGCAAAAAAAAAAAAAATGGAAAAAATCTCAATGGGTTAAAGGATTGTGTATGGAGGGGTGGTATACGTGAATTATTAGGTTCAATCTAGTTTTCAATTTTCTTGGAGCATTGTGACCATTTTCTTTCAACACCCTAAACTATAGAAATCTTTGCTTAAATTAACCAATAAGATGGATTTTGAATATTTTTATTAAAAATAATTTAAAAATTAATTCAATCCTTGTCTTTTTCTCTGTTTTTTTATAAGGCTAAATTAAAATTAATCTTCCATTTAACAAATATTTGGTCCAAGTGATAAAAATACTATGTCAAGTGGTAAATATGAGGTCAACTTCACTATGACACATTCAATTAATCTCGGACTTTGGACATGCAGTTGTAACTAAATTATTTCTTAGAAGAAAAACTCGATTACAGTTAATTGGAACAATAATTTTGAACACTAAAAACATAAAACATAATATATCAAGGGAAAAAAAAAAAAAAAAAAAGAAGAAGAAGTCAATCCTTCCCTAAGCATGTGGCTCCACAGTCCAAACCTGCAAATTCACCTCGTCCACTTTGTGGGTGATTATAACTGCGATTATAAGGCTTTGAACAGCAAAGTAAAAAACCACAAGCTAGCTTCATTTTGGGTGTCTCGTTGTGGATCCAGAACCCTAATTTCTTACGTTGAATTCACAATACAGAGTGTTGCGTTTGATTAAAATCGACATATTTGAAATAGTTCATATAAATTGAATGATGCTCAATTTATCATTATTGCGCATAAATGTCAACCATAACAAAGTCACAATACGTTTGATAAACTATGGTTCCTGAAATTACAATGATTGGTTCCTCTTCTTTTAAGGGCGTAAAAGCATGGGAAAAAATATTTTTGAGTATACGGATGAAAAAGAAAACCAAAAGGAATAAAAACGAATATGTTGAGAGTTTTATTTTTTTTTAATTGGAGTAAAATTAGGTAAGGTATTTTGATTTGTTCCAAATTTTATTCAGTATGTTCTTCCAATTTAAAAAATAGAAATTCAAATATATTTTATAATAATTGGAAGAACACAATAAATGTATAAATATATTTTTAAGATTTATTTTCAATTAAAAGAACATATTAAATGGAATTTTGAACAAATCAAAATGTCTTATAATAAGGATACGAGGGAGTAATATAATTGCCACCAAACACAAAATTGGACTTTAAAAATAAAATTTGAAGGACAATATTCATTTATAAAATTTTAAAAAAAATAATGATAGAGACAGTAATAAATAGTGAAAATCTATGGGTGACTGAAGTGTACTTAATAATTAAGAATAAAAATATAATTGGATGGAAAAATAAAATTTTAACAGAAAAATACTAACAAAATAGGGAATCATATTACTCACCACACAAAGAGCCATTACAGCCAGGCTTGAACAACTGATCTAATATGCAAAATATATATTTTTTAATCAATTTTTATGTACAAGTGCTAGATACTATAAGTCAATGTTTGGTTGTTTTTTCAGTGATTTTTTTCTTATTTTTTAATTAATAACTATCACATTACAATATACGATTTAAATTTTTAATACATTTTTTTTGTTATTTTTAATAAAAAAAACACGCTTAAAAACGCACAGTAAAAAAATAATCCAAATATATCCAAGTTAGCGAACTTGTGACATGGACTTCATTAATTGCGAATGAATAAAAAGGAGTAAACCCTTATATTGGTCCCGTACATTTGGTCCAATATACATTTACGTCCCAAGTATTAACATTTATCTGAATTGGTCCCAAACATTATAATTCGTAACTTTTTTTGTCCATTTTACTGTTTCGGCACTTTTTCCGTTCGGTTGATTGTTGACTGAAAAACGGACGGGGGCATTTTTGTCTTTTTAGTTTTATTCTCTATTTTTAGGAAAATAAAAAATTCTTAAATATTAACATATTTATATATTATAATTAAATTATAAAAAATTCAAAAAATATTAAAATATTAATAAATCTTTTAAAAGCACTTTAGAACTTTCAATTTACCTTTATTCCTAGCCCCAAGTAAATTTCTTAATTACAAATTAATTTAATGTTTTATTTACCTTAGAGGTCACTTAATTTTTACCATCAATCGTTACTGTCAAATTTTAAATTCATTATTTGTTTATATAGAAGAAAAGTTAAGTTAATAACTTATAAAAATTTATGATTTGTTATTTAGGTTTTTCCTTCCTTTGGTAATGATTTACATTTATTCTTACCCTAATCCCCCAAGAAACCAACTCTCAACAGTCGCTCCACTTATCCCCACCACCGCCACCACGGCACACACCACATCGATAGCCACCAATACCATTTTTAAACCCTGGTCTGATTTTCTTTTAATCACCTCTCTCCCAAAATCATTAAATCAGCCATATCTATGCTATTTATCCTCGTTGCTCTAGATCTCTCTGCTGGCATCTCTCCAGATCCACGCCGCCACCAACATCCTTGATAATCTTCACACTTGAGGTTGCTGATGGTGTTTTTTCTTCAGATCTTAAGGATGTAGATATGACGGCGGTGGTAATGGGTTTATTCTGGGAAGTGCTTTGACCCATTTCAGAAAATTTTTTGTGGGAGTTCAAATTATTTTTAAATAGAATGTGGCTATGATTCAATAGAAGAGGATTGGGCAGCAGTCATAAAAAAACATATTTGCTACGATTGTGGGTGGTATTAGAGCGGGGAGGTAAGAGGATTTGAGTCAAAATAGTAAAAAAATTATTGTTGTTATTGTATTGGCCTGGTGGTGGTTATGGTGATATATCACATTGCGTAGATGCCTTGTAGTAGTGGAGATAATTTGAGATTATCAGTTATAACCCGTAAGATTGAATGTAATTTTCTAAAATTTCAATTTTTTTTGGCAGTCGCGGTGATGATAAAAATAACAATCCGGTATAGAGAAAGGAAAATAAGCTAGAATAACCGGTAATAAAAAAAAATTGTTGAGTATACTACCAAGTAGAAGTAGTAATTGCTTCTAATTGAAATTCTATTTGAGGTTTGGAATAAAAGGTAAATTTAAGAAAAATCCTAAAATATCTTTTTAAGATTTATTAATATTTTGATAGTTTGCTGAATTTTTTCTAATTTAATTAAAATATATAAATATGTTAATATTTAAAAAAAATTATTTTCCTTAAAATAGAGAATGAAATAAAAAGACAAAAATGCCCCTGTCAGTTTGTCAGTCAACTGAACGAACGACCAAAAAAATTACGAATTATAATGTTTGGAACCAATTCAGATAAATTTTAATGTTTGAAATGTAAATGTATATTGGACCAAATTACGGACCAATACGAGGGTTTACTCTTAATTACTATACGTTACACCTGAAATAGGCCTTATGTTCTGAGCTGAGCTTCAAAACGGTGACTTGGAGAAGGCTTTAAAAGGCAAAAAAATAGTCCACAATTTTACATGAGTTTTAGATTTATCTTAAAAACAGCATAAATCTCCATACTGAAACTGAAAGTAAGTACAAGTTGACATGGACAGATGACCAAATCTAGGAGAATAAAATTAAATTGTCAGGAAAATTTGCTGCTATTTCCCCCTACACTGTGGTGCCTGGTTCACCAAGGGAATGGATGAGAATGGACGGGAATGGAATGGATTGGAACGGATTGAATCTAAATGGGATTGAATCATATGCTTGGTTACAATTTTATTTGTGATGAGATTCAATCAAAATTCCAATTTTGTCCAGCAACTATAATGGTCAAAATAACCATAAAGTAATTCCGGCTCAAAATCAATTCAATCGCAGAATCAAGCTTTCAAGTTTCAACTGGTAATTGATGACCTTGATTTAAAAAGCTAATCAACAACGGACATTGATGAGGAGTATCCAACTAATATATTGTATTTAGGAGAATAACATTTGAACAGAGATGGAGGGAGAGAAATGGAGACAGGTGGGACTTGGGAGATTTACCTCTAATGAGTGGGGATAAATTTTTTTTTAAAAAAGAAGTTATATGCTTTTGTTGGCCTGGAAAACGGTGGAGTTGTGAGTGTGAGAGGTTTTGGCGGAGGAGATGGCCGGTGGAGGGGGTGAGAGACGGTGGTGATTGTGGTTAGATGCAGAAAAGGAAGAGGACAAAAAAAAAAAGAAAATTGAACGAGGGGTAAAATGTTGGGAAAAAAAATAAATTTGAAACTCACACCCACCAAATGTGTTAGGAATGAATATGTGGGAATGAAATCCTTTTTAGTGGGCCACTTGGGTTTGATAGAATTGAACCAAGCATGTTAAATGAATATGAAACCCATAGAAAAGATTTCAAACCCTCATAACAAGCACCCATGTTTTTCTCTAGTAGAAATCAGTCACCGTCACATGAGAATCTCGGAACAAAACAAAAAAACTTTTCTTTTTTCTTTTTCTAGACAAGATTGCAATAATCTACCAGACAATATTAATATTAAAGTAGCCGTTTCAATTTCAAATTCAAAACTTTTCTCCTTTTCCCAAATCTCTTTTCTTTAATCCCTTTTATTTATGGACTTCTTCTTCTTCTTCTAGTAGAGTTTGTTCACAAAAAGAGCTGCAAAAGCTGAACAGAGGGATCCAAAGATCATCAGACAAGGAGGAAGAAAAAATGTTGAAGGCTGCTCAGTCTCCATTGCCCGAAAACAACCAGATTCAAAGGCCTAAAAGTGGCCGGAAGGCGTTGCTGCCGAAGAACCCTCCGGCTACAACTCCGATCATTACCCCTCAGAAAGTGAAACCCACCAAGCCAAATGCAGCAGAAAGGATTGATGTCTCATTGGTTGATAATAATGGTGTCAACAAAGAGAACGTACATGTTCAGCTTCCCCTGTTTGTCGCCGATCCGGTGAAAATCGACCCAGTGAAGGTGGAGGATTTCGATTTGTCCTTAGCCGAGGAGCTAAACGCGATACGCGAAAAGAGGGAGAGATTGAAGAGGGATAAAGAGGAGACGGAGAAGATGCTGGGGGAGAGGGAATTGGTTCTGGATATGCAAATGAAGGAGCTGAGGAACAGAGGGGAAATGCAGAAGATGCTTGAAATGGAGGTTGATCGGTTGTATCGCCTGAATCAGCTGAAGGTGTCTTGTATGGTGAGACACTAACTACCCATTTCTTATTTCGTTTCGTAGATCTTTGTTACTTTGGAAATCTCTGAAGATGGGTCTTTGTTTTTTTTTCTTCTTGATTTTCTTGAATACAGAGTATTTTACCGATTCAATCACTAAGAGAGAAGGAAATGGGAAAGGGTAAAGGAAAGGTAAAGTAATTTGTTTCTGATTTTGGCTCTTCCTGCTTCTCAATTAGATATTAAGTCTTTATACTTGTTAATTGATTTTTGTTTTCAATGTCTAGATTCATCAGGAAACGAGGACTAATTGTAGAGATGAAGTAAAGGGGGAAGGAAGCTCTGAAACTCATGAAATCCAGAACCAAATACAAACTGACTGCTTGCATCCAGCAGAAACACTGAAGAGTTGATAGGCAAGAATTATGTTTAAGTTACTTTTTGCTACTTTTTTTGTGAAAGATAGCGAATAAAGTTCGAGTAAGTACAATTTATCATTGTATATGCTGCTATTTTTGCCGTTTTGGACTCTGATTGTATCTCTGAGGAACAGTATAGATTGAATTGAACTACATTGTTTCATTTACAAAGTGAAAACAAAGGGCCAATCAATTCAACAGTACTGCTGTAATGTCGGAGGATTAGAGATGAACGAATCTATTTGATTCTGCATTTACTTTTTAGCAGCTATGTGATCATCACTAGACTACATTATGAAAGGATAACTACATATCAGGTGTTGTTTGAAGAATTTATAGCATTAAGTTGTTGATCATGTCCTTTGACGCATTGCAGTTCTCTAAACAATCACAGTAGACCAGAATTGAATGTGTTTTTCTCCCAAGGGGAACTTTTCAGGATGCCAATATACCTCCCAGCTCTTTATGCCGATCGCTATATGGATTTGTTAGCTTTTTGCGTATTGATACATGCAAATGCCTAGGACCTTGGTAGATTTCCCAAGTTTGGGAAGGCACGGAAATACTTTTAACTTGAACTGACAACGACGATGATGAAACATGTGTTGTGGAAATGAGCTACTCCATTGTCCATCTTCATCATTAAGTCAAGTCTTCTTAGAGGAAGTAGTAATAACTTCAGATCCTTGACAATAGGCGCGGCTTTTTGTTGGTCTCGCAAGGTTAGACCATCCGTAAAGCGTACGGTGAGAGATCTATCAGATTCCGGAGAACATATCATTAAATAAAGCTTTTATAATTCGATTGAGGTTGCAAACCCTCCACAACAATTAGCATCATCACTTTCTTGTACCCTTTTATCGCAATGAATGTTTGGTTTTCTTTTTTGGACTAGTTGGAACTTTGCTGCAGATTCATAGCGTCCCAATGTTGAAAGGCATGATAGTTTTTAGTTCAGCTTAAAGATTATCCAACTTTTCCAACTCTTGTACTATTTGACAATTGACATCCCCGGGATCTGCCCATATCAAAGTGAGACAAGATTTGAAGATCTCTTAATTGACTTCATTTTGCAGATTCTAAGCCTTCTTTCTCAACAATCAACACTGAGAGATTTTTAAATTTTTTTTTTTTTTAAAAAAACATGGTTTCACACATTCAAGAGTAGCTTTGAGATGAAGTGTTTGCAAACTCGACAGGCCAACATCATTCAAACTCTTCCACATTAGACTCCCTCACTTGAATCAATCAATACATGCACCCGCCTTTAATCTCGCTTTTTCCCAGCTCTAATAATCCATTCTTTCAAATGGAAGTAGTAATCTCTGGACATTTGTACTTATGCATCCTGCAAAAATAACTTTTGACCTTTAATCATTGTTTTGGCTAAGCTTCTCTATCCATCATTCCATCTAGACTCATAAAAATACCTAGACAGAAGTAACTCTTTAGTTATCTTGATAACCACAACATTAATTTCCTGTCCTTAACTTAATCGGGAGTTACAACGACGACAAGAGATGAAAGTTCTTGGTATAAAACTCCAGGTAATTATTTGACAAAAAAAAAGGACTGCATATTTTCCAACTTCAGATAGATAGCTGAAAAAGGAATAATTGATCAACTAAAGGATCCTCCCAACTTTTCCAAACCTCAGGTGAATTGGGAAAGTAGCAACTTTCCCTGCTTCGCCATCTTCGTTCCAAGCCAGGGCGAATTCCGTAACCACATCTTCACTCAATAATTCCACCCTTTGATCATTGGCTTTGTGGTAGAAGCCCATCGACCTCCAAAACGTGAAGCAATCCTCCAAATTCATGACTCTTTTTGACTCAAACTCGATCGGACCCGTGTGATCAACTCCATCCACGGGCTCAAAGGGGAAATCAATCGTCGCGTATTTGTCTAGCACGACCGAGTTCGCCTGTATCGCTGTATACGGAGCAGCGTAGACGGTTAACATCTTGTGGAACAGCACGTCGACATTCTTGTTGATCTCTGGAAAACGGTAGCAACAGGCAGCGATCACCCCGTCGGGTTTTTTCAACACGAATTTCGCTTGTTGATAGAAAGTTGGGAGGTCAAACCAGTGTATATATAGCAGCAGCAACGCTCACCAAATCAACGCTGGATTCGGATGCAACCAATTGGTTCAGTTCAGACGTCAGACATGGACATTATGGGAGGAGTCAATTGGTACCTTATGTGTTTGGGAGCTTCACTGTGTAGTGGAGTTGCATTGGGCTCGTATCTCTGGCGACCACATTTTCGTATATTCCAGCTAACTGAGTAACAAATAATACACAGACAATCTCGTCAATGGAAACTGATTAACTTACAGATTTATGAATGAATTTATATCTTATTCTCACGCATCCACTATTTCTAGTGATTGCCCCTATTAATCTGGATTTAAAACGAGCAAGTCTTTTCGATAAATGTATGATGTATACATACAATGAATAGGTTCATATAGGGACTGGCTCTGTCTGAAACCGAATGTTAAATCAAAATCTCTTTAATTAGTAGTACTCCCTCCGTCCCAAAATCATTATACAATTTGAGTTTTAATTTCTGGTATAAATTGTACTAAAAGTGAAAACTCAAAACTGGACAATAATTATAAGACGGGGGGAGTAATAACTAGAACCATTCCTTTTTTTTTTTTTCAAGCTGTCATTATTAAATGAATAAATTTACACTGTAATTAGTTTATGAAATGAAAAATATACATTCTGGCGAGTAAAACAGTATGACTAGGGAGTGAAAACGAGCGGAATTTGGCTTGCGCTTGGTTCAATCGATTCAGTTTTTATAGGTTCTAGCACGAGTCAAATTAATACTAATAAAGTAACAAGAAAATCTCTATGCATTATCATCTTTCGCATCTTATACCATAACTTCGGGCACTAATTTGAATAGCTTTCTGAAGAAGGCGAAGGCATGACTATGGTTAGGGGTGTGCATGGATTGGTTCAAATTAGTCAAACCGGTCAATCCAAATCGCGGTTTGATTTTCGAATCGGTTTTATAGTTTTATTTCGAAATCAGTGCATTCAAAATTTAAAAACCGGTAAGAATGGTTTGGTTTACAGTTTAGCATTCAAAAACCTGTTATTCAAACCAAACCGGTCGTTTATATTATTATATATATTTATATATAAAATTTTAAGTGTATGAGTAAACAAAAGTTTAATGCGTTGAAATGGTTAACTCTTGTCTATTTACCTACTTTTAGTTCTAGTGATCCCATTGATTCTCATCACACACCTTTTATTTCATTCTTTTTTTTTTCTTTTCCCTTTTTTGGGTTAACATTTTGGATATTGTTTAATTTTAGTCAGAAACTTTTTTTTCTTTTGGGTTAACATTTTAGATGTTGTTTAATTTTGATTAGAGATTTATGTGGTGTTGAATATATTGTTAATAAAATGCCATATTCTTTTTGTTACAAATTAAAAATTAAAAAAGCTCTATTTTTTGCCCAAAAAAAAAAATGAAAGACCCAAGTTCTTGAAAAAAAAAAGCCCAAAGTCAAATAAAAACCGTGAAACCGTAGAAACCGGACCGGTAATTACAGATTGGTTTGATCCGGTTTCATAATATAAACAGTTTGGTTTTGGATTCAAAATCTTTCAAATCATTCTTACGGTTTGGTTCACGGTTTAGGCAAAAAACTGGACCACCCGAACCGTGCACACCCCTAACTGGAACATATTATTCAGCTTTGGTGGTTTGACTTAATAGGCTATGACCTCGATAGTAACTTGTATGGGGATGGATCAGGAATTGTTTTCCATCGAGGAGTTCGTTGTGACGGATGTGGTGTGCACCCAATAACTGGTCCTAGATTCAAGTTAAAAGTGTAAGCAATAACGATTTTCTCTTATTGTACATTAAAGAGTTGTGAACCAAGAAAATTTAAACAGTGGTTCCGTTGTATGGCCTCAGGGTGCGCAGCTGGTTTGGATAGGAGAAGATAAGCTAAGTGATGCATTTTCTGTTGCCATTGAGGTTAGAACTTTCTTCATAAGTCCATGAAAGCAATTCCACTCCTGCACTGTTGGCTTCAGATTTTTATATTTATTTACTTATGCTGTTTATATTTCACTCATGATGTCTGAAACTCTGCCAGATTCCCCCTTCTGGTTTGGATGTGGATGAGGAGCTCGACGAAGCAGTTGATTTTTTTGCTCCTGAATGCCCTGGTCGCTACATTTCATACTGGAGAATGGCTTCTCCACCTGGTAAGAAATTCGGCCAATGGGTTTGGGTTCTTATCCAGGTCAGTCCCTTTTTTTCACTATTATCATTTTCTTTCTTCTTTTTTTTTTGACTTTTAATTCCAGTTTGGTTAGCCGTTATAGTATTACTTAGTCGTTGTGACAATTGGACGAGTAGGTGGATGCTTCTTCAAAGGAAATGCCATATGATGGCTTTTGTGTATTTAATCTGAATTTACCACCTGTTAGTTACAGCATTCATAGCCCTGAAATTATTAGTGTAAGCCCTGTGCCTATGGTGGAAGACACATTGTCTGATGGTGAGAACTTTAATGAAGCTTCTGCTGTGCATTTGGTATCATCACGAGAGAAAGAACAGGAGGCTAACTTTCCCATCAATGACACATTGATCGTCAGCAATGTTGCCGGATTACGCCCAGTTCAAGGGGGAACTTCATTTCTTATCCTAATATTGATGTGTCTGAGCTTGCTGATCCAGTGGTTCCTTCCCCTCCTGCATCTACTGTTACCTTGGTGCAGACTCAAGATGTCGAAGGAAAGTCTGAGGTGGAGGAGACCCTCCTAAAAGATCTTGAGGAGATGGGGTTCAAACAGGTTGACTTGAACAAGGAGATTTTGAGGTTGAATGAATATGACTTGGAGAAATCCGTGGATGATCTTTGTGGCGTGTCAGGTTGGGATCCCATACTTGACGAGATGCTTCTTTTTTGTTTATAACAAACTTTATTTCGTATCTCATCTCTCCTTTTTTATTCCTCTCTTGAGTGAATATCTCTTGAAGTGAGCAAATACATCATGTCATTCTTGGTTATGAAACTCGGATAAATGATCCCAGTAGTTGTTAAACTTGGTGTCCTTATTTGATTTGGTCGTTGACATTGAAGAAAATTCAGTTCAGGTCCTGAACTGAGATATAGTTCTTTACATGTTCCCCAATCTTATTTTAGTCCTGTAGTTGCATGATTGTCAAAACAAATGCCTTTAGTTTACATCACTACCCTCGGTCATACTGTGGGTTTTGACAGAACTTTCCAATTAATGGATGGAAACGAGGTTAGAGACTCTTTATAGCTCTAAATTTAAAGTTCATGGACCTAATTGTGATCTTTTGAGGATTAGGAATTAAATCGAGTGGGGGTGTGATATTCACCCTAAAGCTCATTTACTTGGTAAATAAAAGTTTTAGAATTAAAGGTGGCAGACAACTTTTTCGAAAATGAAGTAAAATGGTTTTCATGGGTCAATTTTAACAAGTAGTTTTTAAATATTTTTATCCGGTAAACGACCTGCTTAACAGATTTTACTTAATTCATTTTAATAAAAACTATTTTGAGATATGTTAGCATGTTACTCACCCCATGAATCTCTTCTCCATTCGATGTAGCTTATTCTGGTTTTTACGGTTTATCAAACGGACTTGTGGATTGCTCAAAAATTGAAACTGAAGAAGACTATTCATTATTGACAAACCAAATTTTTGAAAATTCTGGCGGAGGACACTGTTTTGAAGATCTGATTTCTTCGACTTATTTAGTCATTTTTCTGATTTTTCCTCGCTGAATCTCCTCTTTGTTAACTTATTTTTTGATTGTTTTTGATGCCTTCCAAATTGGACATTTGGTTTTGATGGGAAATTCACAATGAATTGAGGTCCTCACCATTGTTTTTCTGAAATTTCATAATTGAGTTACTGAGTTTGAAAACTTATCTCTTTGTTTAAAGACTCCTTTCTTACAACTTGTGCTAGCTGATTGCTCTAGATTGGGAAACCGCAATGAACTTTTTGCTATGTTTTTCTTGGTTTTTTCCTTTTATAAATCTGACATCAGCATATCAATGCTCTATTATTGTATGTTAACAGCTGCGACTCTGTTTACGTGTGTGATTCATTTTCTTCTCTCGCATAGCTAATAACTATTGTTCAAAAGCAAGAAGCACTTCAAGCACTTCATGATCTAATCACCTCCAGTTTTAGATTAACAGTGTGTATGGTTTGACTTGTAGGTTGAGGGGTTGGCTCCTTCCATGATTAACAATCTTCCTTTCTAGCCATCTTGCACTCCTCAATTGACTAAGAAGTTGCAGTTGATTCCTTCGAATGAGGTATTATTCAAACTTTTTAGTGAAGTCAGTTGCTTAATTTAGTACTGGTTTGGTCATTTATGTTTGCTTTTCCTACTTCTAACTCATTACATGTAGTTTTAATGCTCTGTTTCTCAAAAGACTTTACTAATTGCATTAGTTCCAAAATGTTAAATGATGAGAAAAATATAGAGAAGTATGCTGTGTAGCTAGACATTTAATTCTTGGGTTGTTTGCTCTGTCAAATGCTGAAATTGATTATAGAACATGGAAAGTGAATGATGGATGATCTGGAAGTCGGGATTGGTTTGAAATGATTGCATGTTAGTGAAATAATAAATGTTTACTTTGCGTGCGCTGAAAATACTTTGTGTTTACTGATTTATTTTGCTGAAAGTCTCCCTCTTTTATCATAGTTTACAACGGTTTTAACAGTTCAACCACATCTCTGGTTTGATTTAAAAAAAGAAAGCTTTGAAGATGGCCATTTACCACTTGTTTGCTGAATTTCCTGATTTCATAATAAGAAGCTGACTTGCACCTCCATCAATCTCTGGGCATTCAAGGGATATGAAGCATTTGAATTCGGCGAAGGAGGCTTTGCATGTTTCAACTTCCCCTTCAGCTGTTGTGTGCCGGGAAAATGAGCAGAACACTATTTTGGAGTTTTGTAAGAGATGTGTGGAGCAAGAAAGTTCTGGAAGTATGTACATATGTGGATGTCCAGGGACTGGAAAGTCACTGATCATGGAAAAAGTTAAGGACGCTTTAGTAGGTTGGGCAAAGGAGGTAAAGGCTTATACTGGCTGATTTAAGCTTATTGGCCTTCCTTATAAACTGTTAATTGAATCTGATAAGATTATGATTTACTTTTTATATCTCAGTGAGTGGTTGCAAATTGTCATCCTTAATCAAAATCTTAACCTCTTCATCTGTATTCGATAATCATATTGAAACCCTTTCTATTTTCTCTTTTCCAATGACGCACAGGCTGGATTTCAACCACCGGATGTGGTATCCATCAATTGTACATCGCTGGTGAACAGTGCTGATATTTTTAGCAAGGTATGATAGTTTCAGGTGTTCCTAGTCCAAAAGGAGCATATATTCAGGTTGTTTGAAGTATCTAATGTTTCTTCTGACAGATACTGGGAAAAAGCCCACAGCGGAAGAAAAATAGTGGCTCCAGTTCACCTTTGAAGGTTCTTCAGAATAGCTATTCTCCGAAACCACCTGCTAGTGGCTTGAAGATGACGTAAGATCACTTCTTTTGTGTATACGCTAAATCATTTTGTTTATGTTACCATGTGGTTTTTCATTGGGTCGTGTACCATGCATTAGTTTAACACTTGAAGTTCTGATTCTGAGTTTTTGCATGTATGATTTCACTGTTTCACAGGTTAATTGTTGCTGACGAGATGGATTATTTGATAACAAAAGATCGGTCGGGACTCCATGATATATTTATGCTCACCACGCTCCCATTTTCCAGATGCATATTGATAGGTTTGTATGCCTTTCCTGCTTCTGTTCCTTGTGCATCTTGTGAATTTTAGATTTTATCTTGTTGTGGAAGCTCTTTTACTTATTGGAGGAATTTCATTAGTCTTGTATGATTTTAGGAGTTGCTAATGCAATTGATCTGACTGATAGTTTTCTTCCAAAACTACAGTCACTGAACTGTAAGTCCTTTCTTTAGCAGAACTGAACACATTTTGCTTTCACTGTCCTTTTTTCACTTTGTTTGGATGCTGAAGAAATTGTCAATAAAATCAACATGTCATATAAGTTTACTTCTTTGATGGGATCATTTTGTCTGATTTTTCAATGTTATGTGTAGGCAGGCCATGTGTGATAACTTTCCGAGCATACTCCAAAGATCAGATCATTGCCATTCTGCAGCAGAGATTAGCTGTAAGTTCTTGACACGGTGACTTAATTATAGAACAGCACAATTAGTACTTTTGTTCGTGGAGTTCTCTTTCTGAATGCAGAGGTGTAATTCTGCTTTTTACCCCCCATTTAATAGGCTTTGATCTTTCAATTATTCAGAATCCTAAACTTTCTCCAAGTTCGTCATGCTTTTTAAAGGTTCTTTTTTAATTTTTTTTTAAATTTTTAATTTATCTTATACACATAACAAGCGCTTGGTAACTCCCATGGTTAGGCATGATGTATCAAAAACGTTCTTGCACAAATTTTTGACATTGCAAAGCACGACTGACTATTGTAAATGACAATCTAAGTTCAAATATCTTCTGTATGTGAACAGGTACTTCCTTACATTGTTCTCCAGCCTCAGGCATTGGAGCTTTGTGCTAGGGCAAATCCTCTATCATTTCATACTTGTAGAGTTCTTTTTTACTAGGATGGTGTGTCCTCCATATTTGCCATGAATGTAGCAATGTGATGCTTGTCACTGTTTCAGAGAGTAGCTGCTGCATCTGGAGATCTACGGAAGGCTCTCTGTGTTTGCAGGTTGGGCATTGACACGTGAAGTTTGCTTCATCGTAGTACTTGTTTTTGGCTGATTAATAGAAGAAGCAATAAAATGAATATAAGTCAGTAGCTTGATTATTCATTCTTGCTACATGTGCACTTCTGTTTCTTTTCTTAATAAAAAAATGACTCTAAGTTGAATAATGAAGAAAGGAAATATGAAAATTTGAGCAATCTTCCATTGTTGCTACAGTATTAAATACTTTCCAGCAAGCGCAAAGCCTGGACCCTACTCTCATTGTTTATCCTTGCTGGAATTGAAACAATTATACGCATGTTTATATAGAAAACAACGTTAAATACTTTCCTGGCTCGTGGAAGTGGATGTGATTAAGAAGTAATTGCTTCAAACAATGGAATCGTCCAGTTTAGAGAACTGAAAGTTTCTCCCACTTTTCTGAAACATCTGTTTATGTTACCTCAATTTTTGTTGTTTCAGGAGCGCAATTGAGATGTTAGAAGCAGAAATTAGAGACTCTGCTGAAAATCTCAACCCTACATTCGTAGATGGACGGATTTGTCATGGTGATACTTTTGGTAAACAAGATAACCAATTTGTAAGTTGGCACCCCTGTTTAGTTCTTTCCAATAAAAGCTTTACCAAAAACATGATAACTGAATGCCAGAGGCTCTTACAACAACATTCTTTAGCCCCCTCTGAATTTTCGGTTTACATAAATCCAGGATTGACTTCTTTTTTTTTTTTTGTCCACCATTTTTCTTTGAAAATTTGTGTAACTATGCTTTAAATTTGGACCCAAAGTTGTTTGTCTATTCATAAATGAGATATCGCTTGATTGCTTTACAAGCTTTTGTACCTATTATTGATGCACGGTATGTTTACAAATACCTTAAGAGAAGGATACTTAATCCTGTATTTCATTATAAACTATGAATTATAAAGTGCAGTTTCATAAAATTACTACTCCCTCCCCAAAAAAATAGTCCGCATTGAGTTTTAACTTCTAGCACAAACTTCAATGCGGACTATTTTTTTGGGACTGAGGGAGTATATGCTAGCACAAACTTCTAGTTTGAGCATGGTTTATATAAGGATTTTAATGTTCAGTGCATACAGAAGACATATGGTGATAACCATTTTCGCTAACTTCTTGATTTTGTTCCAGCCATTTTGAAGTTTACTGTCCTTAAGCATAGTCTTTTGATTGAATAGTTCTCTCGTTACAGGTGAGAGTTGATCACATGGCTCTTGCGTTGTCGAAAGCGTATAAATCTCCTGTTGTGGATACTATACAATCTCTTCCTCAGCATCAACAGGTCAGGTTTGATATTGGTTAGCTATTCTTTTGGTCATCTTTCACCTGCTTGTGATTAGCTCTTGACGTTGATGAGTAGCATTGTGAGAGTGATAGTCAGTATTGTCCTCGTGACTGAATTGGTTGTTTCCTTGTACAGATTATACTTTGTTCTGCTGTCAAGCTTTTTTGCGGGAGGAAAAAAAAAGATACCACAATAAGCGAGGTAAACTATTAGTTGAATCTGAGAACAGCAAACAGGAAGATAATACAGATGGATGTCTGATCTATGACTTTGTATCTACTGCAGTTGAATAAATATTATGTAGAGTTTTGTAAATCAACTTTAATCCCACCACTTCCGATCATGGAACTCTCAAACATGTGCGGAGTGCTAGCAGACCAGGTAAATGAACTGACATCTTGGTTTTTATTTGTTCAAGGAATGATGCAGTCATATCACACCATTATAAGCGAGTAGACTAACATATTTGTACCTCCAGGGACTTATAAAACTAGGACAGGCACGCGAAGATAAACTGAGACGAGTTATGTTAAAAGTAGATGAGGCGGATATCAATTTCGCATTACAGGTACAAATTCTATTCCTTGTCGGTATCTTTTCTTTTGATAAGGTTCTTCTGTATAAAGCACCTACCCAATTCGATTCACTTGTATTCTATGTGAACTGTTGTAATAGGGAGTCCGTTTTTTTCAAAACTGTCTTCAAACATAGAAGCTCTGAAGCTTGGGGAAAGATCCCGCATTCTTGACAGCCCTATTCTTGCCTCATTCATAATGGCTCCCCAGCAATGCAAGAGTCACCGGCTTTAATGCTTATGATATTATCATCTGAAAAGACAATGCTGAGGTTGGCATTTGGTAAAAGAGTGAGTGTTGGTGGCTCTTCTGTTACTTTATGGACAACAAACTGAGAAGATGAGCTATTTAATTTGATGGGCTAAAAAACGGCCAGATTGCTCAAGGCTTCCTGTACTACATTGGAGATCTTCCAGTTGTCTATATTTTAATAGTCAATAATTCTTTCTTGTAGATGAGGATTTTACATAAAATTATTTGTAACTGTTTCAAGTTCCAAAAGATGCAAATTAGGTCTTATCAACGTAATGTTTGCTAATTTGCTTACTTGCAATTCGTAACGTACTATCTTGTACATAACTTCTAGCAAAATATATATATATTTTGCTATATATATGTATATATGAAAATTCTATAGTCCAGTCGTTAAATTTTGTCTGAAGCATCCGGTCAAAATATAGCCAATCAAAAATAGATGCGTCCTAAATGATCCTAGGGTGAGAAGTACTTTAAAAACCATTGTCAATCCTTTAACTGCTAATTTTTTTTTTTTTTTTTTTTTAATGTTAAACAGGACCTGCTACTTCGTTTCTTCTCTGCACATTAGACTGATTCACAAACATGCAAATAGAAAAAACCCCTTTCTCTTCCTCAATCAAATAGAAATTTAAACAAATAATCTGCATTTAGACAATCGACCAAAAGCTCATTCTCACATTCTGATTAAGTTTCTTAAAGCCATTTTTATCTCCTATTCATCAGAAAGAATAACAAACAAATTTCTTGAATTCTCAAAAAAAAAAAAAAACAATATTAAATTAAACTAAGGTGTGGAAAAAATGATTCAGGCCGTTAACAAGTTGACGAGACTTCATTTAAGTATATATTCTTCAGCCACCACAAAAGTAAAAATGTCCAGTTATTATTGTTTTTCCCTCTTTGATAAGTTAAACCACATCTGCATATCTAATTCCATATTCTGCATGTTTTCAAGTACAAAAGGACAAGACCAAGATGACTGTAGCCTACTTCTGCAGAAAAAAAAACCAAATTTTTACGATGCCAAGCCACCAAGTATTACATTCCAGGAAAAACAAAATCCAGAAAATTGATCAAGGCTTCAGAATGCCCCTAATGAAGTCTTCCAGCTGCAAGACATCTGCAGTTGAGCCAGAAGCCTCACCAATTCACTTGGTTGAGACACTGGGAAAAGTTGAATGGCTCCCCCGGGGTCCCAAGTGTAAAGTCATTAGTAACATCCGCTTCAGACACAACGGTCTTTGTTGCCCGAAGTTTGTCAAATTTTTTTTCCAGCTGCTTCCAAATAAATTCGCTGTGACATTTTCCACCTTGTTGCAAAGGATAAGAAGAGGAATTTTTCTCTTCAAAACGCTTGCACTAGTCAGAATTTGATAGAGGTGCGCGGCAATTTGATAGGAATTCCACAGCATCCACATCAAAAACAATACCAGCTGCTTTCGGCACATAATCATCTAGTTTCGTTCGAAGGCGAGAATGTCCAGGTACATCAACAACATGAATAGGCTTAATTTTAAGCTTCTTAATAGCCTCTGAGTGCAACACAAAGATGCCTTCATTGGGTTCAACAGATGTCACGGTACCTTGGTGTGAGGAGCCATCACGAAGTTGGTAAAATAGAACAGTCTTCCCACTTCCACTAAGCCCAGTGTTAGAAGATTCACGTTTGAAAAGTCTAACAATTATAAACAGAAGCACAGTGAATATTATTACTGCAATGGCAGCATAAAGTTGATTTGGCAGTGTCTTCTCAATCAATTCCTGATCTTTCACGATCAATTTCTTTGCGTATATCTTCAGTTCAGTCTCTAGGTTTTCCATACTCTTCACCCTTACAAGTTGTCGATGCCCATCAGTTCCCACAATGATGTATAAATACACCTCCGTCAGCGCGGCCGAATCTCGTTAATAGAGAACCGAAAAAAAGTCCAGTTAAACTGCAAATAAAACAATTAAAATAAAACCATTAAACATGAAAATTCACAGATTAATTAGCCTTGATTTATTTTTTTCCCGACTTTCTCCAGTTTCCCGTCACCGTAAGAATCCTCAATATCAAACAAACTAAACCAATCTGATTGTAAGATTAAAGCTTCATGAAGCGCAGAATCCATTTTATATCTTCATGGTAAATAAATCTCCGAAAAAGTACCCAAAAAAGTGGTTTCCCATGCCTACGTTTCAAATCCTGCAAAACAACAGTCGCGATGCTTGATGTAATATGTTCTCATCTCCGAAGAAACCCATTTTGATTCAATTTGAGGGGAAACGCAAAATTTTAGGTGATGATAACCGGTTATATAGGTTGACTGATTTTAATAGTAGAATAATACTATGTGCAAGAGTATATAAAATTTTATGATGTACCTTATTTAATCTTACGGATATAATGCTCTTTTATCATCCAACGGTTAATATTGATGACTGAATGATTCAGTCGACTGGACCATAGTCGCTCCCTCTATAATATAAACAAAGAAAATATAAGTTAACTTAATTTCCAAAAGTGCAACAATGTCACAGCCATCAACGTGATATAAACTAACCAATCAATTTGTACAGAGCTTTTGATTTGAACTAACCAAAAGCTTGTTGACTCAAAGGACCATTTACATAGACTCAACGTTTCCGAGTTAAGAATCTTTTCCTTACTCTCTATATAAACTAAACCCCCAAAAAAAGAAAAAGGCCATTACTCAGAAAACTTGAATTGAAAATGAAGAATAATAGTGTTTCCTTTATTCTTTTGGTTGTTGTTTTGCATGGGGTTATGGCAATAGAGAGATACCTGCGGTGGCTGCTGATCATCGAACAAATTTTCATGATTCACCGGAGAAAATGACGGCCTTATCAGATGACAACTTTGACCGGTCATTACGGTCAGATGATGAACGGAATCACCCGCCTCCTCCACCGCTGTCTAACTCTCTTCAACACAATCTAGTTCCACCGTCGTACAAAGTTCCCTATCCCCCGCCGTCGCCACCACCATCACCACCCTCCAACATTTCCGCCAATGCCACCTTGTGATTATTAGTTACTGTTTTCATTATTAATTAATTCCATCATGTCTACATCTTCAAAGTGCATTCGATGAGGAGATTAGTTTCTACTAATCTCTACTACTAATTTCGATTTATACGGTATTCATTTTCCAATACTTTGGAAATAGTTGGAAGAAGACAATTTTCTTTTAACTTTTATGTTACGCTGTAATATATAATTAATTTATTGATATAGTAAATTATTAAATGATTACGCTGTAATTAGTTCCTCCCCTCTCCCTTTATTCTCTCAAACCCTAGCCGCCTCACAAAAAAAATTTCTTTCCCCCATCTTCCCTCTTGTGTTGACGGGGGAATTGATTTGATTTTTCTTAGTTCATAGTTTTTGTTATCGTTTAATAAGTGGGATTTGTTCCCAAAATATAGTTCTTTCAGTTTGTAATCTATTGAGAGGGTAGGGTTTTTTTTGCAGTATTCGTGATGTCTTCCGTACTGTTGATGCGATATCCGTAGTTTCGTTCGTTGCTTCACACTGTGCGTTTGAAGAAGATTCAGTCATCATAGATTTATTTGATAGATCTATGATTTGGGGCTTTCATCAGATTATTAGAGATATGTTCTTGATCAGATTGATTATCTAGCACGTGATATATCCATCGTTGTATTGGGTAGATGTAGATAGGTTTATCCACGAGAACTACAACAATAATATTAAGTTTAATTGTAAGTTGTGTTCTTGTTTCGACTGTATCTTCCATTATCAATCGTTGCTGGACGATTTCCAGTAAATTAATATAATATAGTTTTTATTTCAAAAAAAAATATTGATATAGTAAAAAAATTATTTTTATAGCTATGTTTTATCATCCATCCTACTCTCATTCCTCTTCGATCATTTCTATTGGAATATAAATAGTGTAATTCGACATTATTTAATGACGATTGACATATATATATATTTTGGAAAATAAAAATATTTATGATTATGGTACTCGTTGTATCTCTGTGTAATGGAGAACACTCTATTCTCATTTTCTTTTCTTTTTTTTTAATCAAAATATTCTCATTTTCTGTTGTGGTGGAAAGGGTATAAACACAACAAACCAGCGGAAACGACTCCCAAGAAAAACTCATTTCCTACTACCAATAAAATAGGACAACCAACCAAACAAGCAACTAATTCAAGAACTGATAAAGTAAAGTAGACACACAAATTTACGTGGAAACCCAAATCGGAAAAAATCACGGGACTGTAACAACAGTCAAATCTCCACTATCACAATAATGGGAAACAATCTTCACCAACCGGTGGATACACAGGACTTCACCCAAAGTTGGATTACAATAATACTCTTCCACACACCCCTAAACCACAAACTAGGATTGGAAGGATCTAACCAAAATAGAGTTAAACTGAAAACTAAACCCTAGTTTTCTTTCTTTTTTTTGTCTCGCACTAAACCCTTGAGCGGCTGCCCTAATCTTCTTTCTCTCTCGGCTAAAAATATTATGCACAAAAGCAAGGAGTGCTGCCTTGCTTTTATAAGCCACGACCAAGACAAACCAAAAACCAAATTGGATTGGTTTTTGTCTCTCGGTCAACCACTGTGCGTTTGAAGAAGATTCCGTCATCATAGATTTCTTTGATAGATCTATGATTTGGGGCTTTCATTAGATTATTAGAGATATGTTCTTGATCAAATTGATTATCTAGCACGTGATATATCCATCGTTGTATTGGGTAGATGTAGATAGGTTTATCCACGAGAACTACAACAATAGTATTAAGTTTAATTGTAAGTTGTATTCTTGTTTCGACTGTATCTTCCATTATCAATCGTTGCTGGACGATTTCCAGTAAATTAATATAATATAGTTTTTATTTCAAAAAAAAAATATTGATATAGTAAAAAAATTATTTTTATAGCTATGTTTTATCATCCATCCTACTCTCATTCCTCTTCGATCATTTCTATTGGAATATAAATAGTGTAATTCGACATTATTTAATGACGATTGACATATATATATTTTGGAAAATAAAAATATTTATGATTATGGTACCCGTTGTATCTCTGTGTAATGGAGAACACTATATTCTCATTTTCTTTTCTTTTTTTTTAATCAAAATATTCTCATTTTCTGTTGTGGCAGAAAGGGAATAAACAAAATAAATCAGCGGAAATGACTCCCAAGAAAAACTCCTTTCCCACTACCAATAAAATAGGACAACCAACTAAACAAGCAACTAATTCAAGAACTGATAAAGTAAAATAGACACACAAATTTACGTGGAAACCCAAATCGGGAAACCACGGGACTGTAACAACAGTCAAATCTCCAACATCACAATAATGGGAAACAATCTTCACCAACCGGTGGATACACAGGACTTCACCCAAAGGTGGATTACAATAATACTCTTCCACACACCCCTAAACCACAAAGTAGGATCGGAAGGATTTAACCAAAAGAGAGGTAAACCGAAAACTAAACCCTAGTTTTCTTTCTTTTTTTTTTTTTTTTTCTCTCACACTAAACCCTTGAGCGGCTGCCCTAATCTTCTTTCTCTCTCGGCTAAAAACATACGCACAAAAGCAAGGAGTGGTGCCTTGCTTTTATAAGCCACGGCCAAGACAAACCAAGAACCAAGTTGGATTGGTTTTTGTCTTTCTCGGTCAACCACTGTGTGTTTGAAGAAGATTCCATCATCAGAGATTTATTTGATAGATCTATGATTTGGGGCTTTAATCAGATTATTAGAGATATGTTGAAGCATAAGGAATCTTTTTCATCTCTTCCTTATCTTTCTCACTTTTAGAACACTGTGTTTTGCTTAGCTTAAAATGCTCTGCAAGTGGAGTTGAGACTTCCTTAGCACCGCTCATGTTAAATCTATCAAGAACCTTCTCGATATACTTCTCTTGAGATACCCAAAGCTTCCCATTCTGTCTGTCACGAGAAATCTTCATCCCAAGGATCTGTCTAACCGGACCCAAATCCTTCATCCCAAAGGATTTATTCAACTCCTTTTTCAACCTAGCAATCTTTGCAGTATCATGACCAACAATCAACATGTCATCGACATAAAGCAAAAGAATTATAAAATCACCATCAGAGAATTTCTTCACAAATACACAGTGATCAGCTGTAGTCTTTTGGTATCCCTGCCCTATCATAAAAGTATCAAACTTCTTGTACCATTGCCTCGGAGCTTGCTTCAACCCATATAAGCTTTTGTTGAGACGGCATACAAGCTTCTCTTTCCCCTTCTCCTGAAACCCATCTGGTTGCTCCATGTAAATCTCTTCTTCCAAATCACCATGCAGGTAGGCTATTTTCACATCAAGCTATTCAATCTCAAGATTCAAGCTGGCCGCTATTCCAAGCACAACTTGGATTAAAGACATCTTTACAACAAGAGAGAATATCTCATCAAAGTCTACGCCCTTTCTCTGATTGAATCCCTTCACAATCAATCTGGCTTTGTACTTCAGTTGTGAGCTGTTCTCACTTGTTTTTAGTCTAAACACCCATTTATTCTTGAGTGCTTTCTTGCCCTTAGGCAGCTTCACCAGGTCATACGTGTTATTCTCATGCAAGGATTTAATCTCATCTTGCATGGCTGCTAGCCACTGATCTTTCTGCTCATGACTAAGGACTTCTTCATATGACTCTGGCTCACCCCCATCAGTAAGTAACAAATACTCATGAGCACTGTACCTGGTGGAAGGTCTCTTGTCTCTGGGGGACTTCCTAGGCTGAACAGGAGATGATGAAACCGGTAGTGTCTCTGTTTCAGTAACAGGATCATTATCAAACTCACTTTCCTGCTCTGTCTCAGCTCCCCATTCAGGAGAATCATCTGATTGTGGAAGAACTGGATCTAGATCAACAGGAATCTCAGGTGAAGATTCTAGCATCTCGCCTTTTCTCATATCATCAATGGTCTGTCTTCAAAGAAGATAACATCTCTGCTTCTGAAAATTTTCTTCTCTATAGGATCCCAAAGTCTGTACCCAAAGTCATCATTTCCATACTCCAAGAATACACACTGCTTGGATTTTCCATCGAGTTTCGACCTTTCATCTTTGGGAATATGAACAAAGGCACGACAACTAAAAACTCGCAAATGCCTAAATGAGACATCTTTCCTTGTCCAAACTCGTTTTGGTAGATCACCATCCAACGGAACTGAGGGAGATATGTTGATCAAATCAACTGCTGTCTGCATGGCTTCACCCCAAAAAGATTTAGGCAGCTTTGCATTCGAGAGCATACACCTAACCTTTTTGGTAATAGTTCTGCTCATTCTTTCTGCCACGCCATTCTGCTGTGGAGTCTTCGGAACACTCTTCTGAAGTTTATTGCCATGGTCTCGGCAATACTTCTCAAACGGATCCCTGTACTCACCATCATTATCTGCTCGAACATACTTCAACTTCTTGCCAGTCTCTCGTTCAACTCTAAGGTGAAAGTCTTTGAACACATCTAATACCTGATCTTTAGATTTCAAAGAAAAAGACCAAACCTTTCGAGCATAGTCATCAATGAAACTAACAAAGTACAATGCTCCACCCAACGACCTATCTTTCATGTAACATACATCTGTGTGAACTAACTCTAGAGGACTGGACTTTCTAGATGGACAAGAATTTTGAAAGGAAACCCTATGTTGTTTACCATAGATACAGTCAACACAAAGTTCCAGAGCAGTACCTTTCACCTCTAGGAGAAATTGCTTCTTACCAAGAATCTGCAACCCCTTAACACTCATGTGTCCAAGCCTTCTGTGCTAGAGATCAATGGAGGCATTTTGAATCGCATTCACCTCTCCATTCTTCAACTTTACATTCAACACATACAAAGAGTTCAACTTCTTTCCTCTAGCAATAACAAGATTCCCTCTGGTAATTGTCCAACGGCCACCACCTTTAGTGCTATGATAACTCTCATCATCAAGTTTACCAACGGAAATAAGGTTCAGACACATATCTGAAACATGTTTGACATTCTTCAAGACAAGAGTACAACATGTATTCGTTACCAATGATACCTCTCCCATGCCTACAACATCGCATGAGGCTTGGTTGCCCATTCTTACACGACCAAAATCTCCAGGTGTGTAAGAGATAAAGAAGTGTCTGTGAGGCGTCACATGATAAGACGCACCTGAATCACCGAACCAATCACTGTCGTGACTCGAAACATTAATTGTATCATCATCACAGTACACAAATACATCACTGGTAGTTACTACTGCAGTAGTGTCATCATCACTTGATTCATCCTTCTTGCCTTTACCTTTTCTCGCTGCTAGTTCTCTCTTGAGAACCCTGCACTCCCTCGTAAAGTGCTATTCCCTTGACAATGGTAGCACACGACTTCTTTCTTGGATTTAGACCGTCCCTTGGACTTTCATTCCGATCACGTGGCCCTTTGTTTTTACTTCTCCCTCTTCTATCTGACTTTTCTGTCACCAAAACCTGCGACTCAAACTCAATACTCTGCTCTTTTCTTCTGACTTCTTCATTCATCAAAGCCTCTTTGACCTGATCCAAGATCAAGAGACCATCCTGAATTGAATTACTGATTAACACTACCAAAGTGTCCCAACTGTCTGGAAGAGAACTAAACAATAACAAAGCCTGCACCTCATCATCCAGCTTTAAACCTACATTCACAGCTTGGTTCAACAAACCCTGAAACGAACTCAAGTGCTAATTCATGCTAGCATCATCTTTGTACCTCAACCTGGTAATCTGTTTTAGCGCAAATGACTTATTGATGCCGGATTTCTTCCAGTACATATTTTGGATTTTCTTCCAAAGTTTATCAGCTTTTGTTTCTCCCGAAAAGTAATGAAACACACTTTGATCAATCCACTGCGAATATTACCAACACTCTTCCTGTGCATATTAGCCCACTTTTTATCAGTCATGTCACTTGGCCTACCTTCATTCCCTAGAACAGGATCAAACAAATCTTTGCAATACAACAAGTCTTCCATTCTAGGTTTCCACATATGATAATTGGATGAAGTTAATTTAATCATCGTACCAGCACCCGATGACTCTTCCATTTTATTGGTGTAACACCTCAACTACCGAACTGTAGCTCTGATGCCACTGTTGTGGCGGAAAGGGTATAAACACAACAAACCAGCGGAAACAACTCCCAAGAAAAACTCCTTTCCTACTACCAATAAAATAGGACAACCAACCGAAGAAGCAACTAATTCAAGAACTGATAAAGTAAAGTAGACACACAAATTTACGTGAAAACTCAAGGAAAAACCACGGGACTGTAACAACAGTCAAATCTCCACTATCACAATAATGGGAAAAAATCTTCACCAACTGGTAGATACACAAGACTTCACCCAAAGGTGGATTACAATAATACTCTTCCACACATCCCTAAACCACAAAGTATGATTGGAAGGATCTAATCAAAAGAGAGTTAAACCGAAAACTAAACTCTAGTTTTCTTTTTTTTTTTTTTTTCTCTCGCACTAAACCCTTGAGCGCCTGCCCTAATCTTCTATCTCTCTCGGCTAAAAACATAAGCACAAAAATAAGGAGTGCTGCCTTGCTTTTATAAGCCACGGCCAAGACAAACCAAAAATTAAATTGGATTGATTTTTATCTATCTCGGTCAATCACCACTCAAAGTGGTTTGGGTTTGGGCCAAATTGAGGGGAACGGCCCAACATTTTCTTTTCAGTCATCTCTAATGGAACATTCAAAAATAAATCCAAATTGTTTTCTTCACGAGAAGACATTTTTCTTCATAAAACCTTGAAACTGAAAGAAATAATTGTATATGTAACTATGTATAACAATATAATATGTTTTTGCTAATTCGCAAAAAAATAAATGATTAATTCTTCAACTAAATCCTCCCAACTTTTCCAATCCTCAAATGAATAGGAAAAGTAGCAACGTTTTCAGTTTTGCCATCTTCTTTCCAAGCTCTAGTGAAATCTTCAACCAGATCCTCACTCAATAACTCCACCCCTTTATCTTTTGCAGTTTGGTAGGCCGACCACGACCTTACAAACGTAAAATACCCTTCCAGATTCATCATTTTCTTCGACTCAAACTCGAACGGACCCGTGTGATCGAGTCCATCCACGGCCTCAAACGGGAAATCAATCGTCGTGTATTTGTCACGCACGATCAAGTTCGCCTGTGGCGCCATAAACGGAGCCACATCAACGGTTAACATCTTGTGGAACATCTCGTCAACTTTTTCATTGATCTCTGGAAAACGGTAGGAATAGGCCGCGATCACACCGTCGGGTTTTTTCAACACGAATTTCACTTGTTGATAGAAAGTTGGGAGATCGAACCAGTGCATTGCTGAAGCAATGCTCACTAAATCAACATTCGATTCGGAAGAAACTAATTGATTAACCTCAGAAATGGACATGATTGGAGGCGTACATTGGTAGATTATGTTTGGGAGTTTCACTGCATATTCAAGTTGAGTTGGACTTGTATCTGTAGCTACCACATTTTTGTATATCCCCGCTAGCTGAATCCAATAAAACACATAGAGCAAAAAGAATTTAAATCCCATTGGCGAAAAAATAAACAAACAATTTTCAATATAATAATTTTACACGTAAATGCAACATGTGAAATTCAGAATGACTATTATAGTAACGATTTATGTCGACCAATATGGTACATGAAAATCAAATTTGTTACTAACAAACTTTAGTAAGGCTCTGTTTGGTTGCATTGAATTGGAACCAAGAATTAGAATTGGAGCTCTTTAATTCCAATTCTTGTGTTTGGTTGGTAAAGATAGAGGTCCAAGAATTGGAATTATAATTCAAGATGGGGCTCAATTCTTTATTTTCAATTCTTTTGTGGGAGCAAATAATTGGAATCCAAAATCAAGAACTTAAAAAAAATACGCGAATCATAACCGGGTCGTTTTCGGGTTATAACCTAAACGGGTCACCCTCTCAATTTTTGTCTTTTGGGGCTTTTTATATATATATATATATATATATTATTTTAATTCATTTTTTTCAGTTTTTTTCTTTTTCTTTTTTTTTTCCTTTCATCGCTTTTTTCTTTTCTTTGTTTTTCTTTTTTTTTTGGGTTGTTTGTCTCATTATTATTATTATTATTATTATTATTATTATTATTATTATTGTCATATATGTATATCATTTTAATAATTATCAACGAAATCAATCTAAAATGAAAATTGTATCTTTTTTCAAAAAAAAATTAAAAGTATAGCTGTACCCAAAAAAAAATTAATAACTCAATATTTTAGTTTTGGGTTAAATTTTTATTATATTATGACATAGTAAACAACATAACACTTTCAATTTTTTTTTTATAGAAATTGTTCCATGTATACACCTATATTATAATACATATATATATATATATATATATTAAACTATTCATGACATCTTTTCACCAAAAATTATGTAAGTTGAGTTTTAAGTATCTATTATTTCATAGGAAAATGATATATTTAGTGAAAAAAAATAGTGAAAAAAGATAGTGAGTGATGTGGCTTATTCTTGGCCCCTAGTTTTTTGCCATTTTCCCGTTAAAATTTTATCTTGCCCTAAAGAATTACACGTTTACCCTTTATTAATAAATACACATATTTAGTGAGGATGTGGTATTTGTGTTTTCATTAGTCACTATAATTTTTCACTGTGATTAGTCACTATCTCTATCATTGCTGTATTTCGTATATACTTACATATTAGAATAAAAACATTTAAGCATATATTATATACTAATGTTAATCTATATATAAATGAACTTCAATATTCATAAACTGAATTTACAATGTTATATAATAAATTTTTTTAAATTTTTGATATAAATCAAAACATAAAAAATTAAAAATTTTGAAAAATAATAAAAGAGAGGAAAACAAGGATGTTTTACGTGTTACTTATTTGTGTATTAAGTGAGAATTTTAAGTATCACATTAATAATTCTTATACATAATAATATTTCTTTTGTTTCCAACAAAAATGTGTGTACATAATACATTACAAAATTGATATAGCAAATTAATTAAAAATAATAATTTGTTTTTAACAGAAAAATAAAAATTGTATTAGTTAAACAACCACAAAGTAGTCAAATATACATGTATATAATGAATTTATTTATTTTTTTTGTTATACATATCTATAATAAAATAGGTTCTTTTGTTTTTTACAAGAAGTATAAATTGTACTAGTATTAGTTATACAATAACAAACTAATTTCAATTCTAAAGTATCCAAATTTTTATGCATCCAAACACAAGAATTGGAATTAGAACCTTAATTCTTGTAAATTTTCAAGATCTCCCAAACAAAGGAATTGAGATTGAATTACAATATTAATATCTCATTTTCAATTCAATAGTATTGTAATTCTAATTCAATTGCAACTCAATCTAACCAAAAGGAGCCTAAATTAATTTGTTATTGGATTCATCCTCGCCCTCACATGTAATAGTAATTTTTCCGTCCTTACATGAAAATTAAATAATTTAGCAATTCCATAAAATTACAATGCATTTCACGTGAAACAGCGTAGAGGGTAATTTATCTGATTTGAGTTTCTTTTTCTTTTGTTTATTTTCATAGCAAATATGAAACACCGTGAAAATATTAATTTTATTTATATATATATATACATATATTTTTTTTTTGTGTTGAAAATTTAACAATCAGATGTTTAAAAATTCCATGCATCAAGAAATCAAACAAAATGCATGGTTCAGATATAGGGAAGGATATGATGGTTTAATGAAGAGGATGGATATGTTATAGATATGGCAGCCTGGCCGTTTCCGGTGCCAACGTCCCAAGCAAGATCTCGACAAGGTGTTTTTGAGGCAATGAATTGGAAAAGCTCCTCCGGGTACGTCGGCCGGCCGTCCAAATATTGCTTCGCCTGTTTCACAAATAACTCTGCCATACTGATACGAGATTGTGTGATTTCTGTGCGGATCTTTTAAACTTTAAGATGTCCAAATATTTGAATATTCTTCAACAAATGCCATACTTTTTTACACGAACAAAAGACAATGCTCTATGCGAATGTGAGAAGGAAATTAAATCAACCTGTTTCCAAGTGTTGCCCCCCTTCATGTTCACTAGTTATATCAAGTAAGAAAAAAAAGGATAATATCTACGGTTAGTTCTCTCTGGTCATTCTGTATTTTGAGAGAAATTAAATAAATAAATTACGGTACATATTTGATAATTCAGATATCTGAAAAGATTCAATTTGATGTGATCATTCAATTCATGTTCGTTTAATTCAGTCGCATTCGCGATACAAAAAAATAAGGTACAATACTTACACTTGAAATCCCATTATTCATGAGTGCATAATAATGATGATTGCTTCCATATTTTAAAGAAAATTCACTTAAATAAGTAACGACATCCAATGTTTTCACCACAAAAGAATTAACATTAAACAAGTAAATATTCTACCTGTCTCGAATGATTGTCCAATTTTGATTTTTACTTCTAGAATAAATTGTACTTCTTCCGTCCCAAAATTATTGTCCAGTTTAAGATTTTATTTTTAGTACAATTTGAACTATAAATGAAAAATCAAACTGGACAATAATTATGGGACAGAGGGAGTATTAAAAATAAAAATCTAACATAAAAATTATTTTAAAACCAAATGCGTATTAAAATTAGTGATATAAAGTTCAGGTGTGTAAAAGCGTAATGATAGAACCTATTGAATCCACCGTCAATATTGAACGGTTGTAGGAACATACATAGTGTTCGTAAAATAATAATAATACATCCAAACTTGTGGCTAAGTTTTTTTTTTTAGGTAATGCTTCATTTCGTTGTACAACTAAAAGTAGGACAGAAGAGTGAACCAAAAAATTGGAAATGAGAAATTGAGAGAATGATTGAGGCAAAAAATGAGAGTTGTGTTAAAGTTCGCCAAGAAAAAAATAAAGTTCGCCATTGACTAAGAGTTGACTTCCATTTTTACCCTTATACTTTGAATTTCAAATTCAAATTTTAAAACTCCAATTTTAAACCCTACACTTCAATTTTCTAATTTTTAACCCTACATTTTAATCGATGGCCGGAGGAAATCAACGTCCCCAGAAACATCCACTGGAACGAGTGAGTTTTCTAAAATCGTTAAACTTTTAAATTTTGGAACGAGTGAGTTTAAAATTTTTTTAAAAATACACATTTAAATTGGCATAAAATTATAGATTTGCATGAATAAATAACTTAAATGAATCCTATTCAATTTAATTTTGATGCAATACTTAATAAAATACGAAATTAACTAAATAAATTAATAAAATTGAATTTTTTTTTAAAAAAAAATACCCGGGCTCACCGGGCGTGGCGGCCCGAGATAAGCGAGCCGGTGGACACACCCGTTCGCTCAAGAAAAGACGTCACCCCCACCATCCCTTGTTGTCTGGGACGCTGCGGCCGGTAGCCACGACAAACATGGCCGCCACACCCGCCGGCCAACATGGCTAACGTCTTTTCTTGAGCGAACCGGTGTATCCACTGGCTTGCTTATCCCAGGCCGCCACGCCCAGCGGCCCGGGTATTTTTATAAAAAAAAATTTCAGTTTTATTAATTTATTTAGTTAATTTCATATTTTATTAAGTATCACATCAAAATTAAATTGAATAGGATTCATTTAAATTATTTATTCATGCAAACCTATAATTTTATGCCAATTTAAGTGTGTTTTTTAAAAAAGTTTAAACTCACTCGTTCCAAAATTTAAAAGTTCAAGGATTTGAGAAAACTCACTCGTTCCAGTGGATGTTTTCAGTGACGTTGATTTCCTCCGGCCATCGATTAGAATGTAGGGTTAAAAATTGGAAGATTGAAGTGTAAGGTTTAAAATTAGAGTTTTAAAATTTGAATTTGAAATTTAAAGTATAAGGACAAAGGTGGAAGTCAACTCTTGATCAACGGCGGACTTTATCTTTTTCCTGGCGAACCTTAAACTTCCAGAAAAATGAAACATAAATTATATTATTACTTAGGACCAAAAATCACCCCATTCTTCCAGAAATAATTTCCTAACCGAAAAGGGCTTCGGAGAGTTGCGTCTTGTTTACTCTTTCCATAACTAAAACCACCCATAACTTGATGGACTGCATTCAAAAGGATTGTAAATTAATAAGAATTCATTTTGCTTATATAACTTGATGATTTTGATTTTTGGAACCCAAACTTTGATCATCCATTTACAAGCGCTTTACCCCAGACAAAATTGAGCCACTGATTTCTTTTACTGAGGCAATCAACCCCAGACAGCCAAGGAAGTGAACATGCAGTTTACCGCACACTTTTTTTACTCAATTATCAAGCTAAAAAGAAACGAATACAAAGGACACAATGTATATGCATCAGAAAGCACACAGAACTCTGACTGCAAACAGATGCTTTACTACTTCGATAGCTCTGACATATCTTTACATAGAGATGAATCACTTGTGCAAAATATTTGCATACCATAGCTAAACAGCTGTACAGCAAAACAAAAGCAGCCAAAAACAAGCACTGGGGAAGGAAAAAAAAAAATAGTATAACCTCAGTTGTTGAGTTTGTACAACAGAACGAAGCAATAACTGATATGCTATTGATAGGGGTTAGAAGACTACTAGCACGAAACAATGACTCACTCCGAAGAAGCAAGAGCTGACTGCAACACGTCTTCAAGGTGCTTCTCAGCAGCAGCATATTGTCTTTTCTTGTCCTCAATGGCTAATGCTGCCAGTGCTTTATCCTGCACCCACAAATAAACAGTTAAAAGAAAAGGCCATAGCTTGGTTATGCTATTAGATGGAATAAACAGCTGAGCTTACAGGTGGAAGGTCTTGATAACTTCTCAAAGTATCGACTATAGGCTTTGTTTTCTTTTCCAAGTCCTTTCTATGCTCTGCCATTTCAACCAACACTCCATGACTAATTTCTGGAGTGTATCCCACACGATTCAGAATTGCCTGCCATTTAATTATTGAACTACATTAAGGCTGACGCACATAACGAGATAAAGCAATTGAGAGAGAGAGAGATAGAGAGAGAGAGAGAGAGAGAGATAGAGAGAGAGAGGGAGAGAGAGAACATTTGCAACACTAATTTAATGATTTCATCGAAGCTTAAACATTAAACCTATGTCGCAGAATTGCAGTTATCTTTTCATAGAACAGAGCCAATATTAACCTTCAGGTTAAATTTCTTGGGGCGATTGATCCAACAAGGTTCAAATCTCTTCACTGTTATCTTCCCACCCAACCCTCCAACTCTTCACCACAAGGTTAACTTCATTGTTGGATAAGATACAGGACGTATATGAAAAAGGAGGGACCCAAGTTTCAAAGAAAGACTTGCAAAAGGACATGGATTGAGATAATCGAACTCATCAGAAACATATCACAGACAAATCAGAGTCCGACATTTCTAGCTCAAGTTGATGATAAAACTGCAGGTATTTTGACACTGATGAAGATGATTATAAAAGAGAATCATACCAAAATTTTAGAAAATCAAATGACTCTTCTTATGAGAATAAAAAAAATTAGAGTTATGAGGAAAAAGAACCAAATCCAGAGCTAGTCTAGCCATTTTTGATACAGTTCACCAACTATTTGGATTTAGCTTATTTCCGATTTCGCATCATAAACTACTCGAGATAGCCCCCTCAATAGATTGAAAGCAGATTCCTCAATTAAGTATACTAGAATATACCATAGGAAAGGAAAGTAATAACAAGGTAACTGAGTTCAAATGAATTCTTATCCACAAATAACTTACTTCAGTACTATCCTCTCAACTGTTCACTGCGATAAGGTTTCAATTATCAATTGAGAACTTAGTCTCCAAAAATTTACATTTTCCATTTGCAAAATCTCATGCAAGGTAAACAAATGACCCACATATTAGTTATAAACTCACTGAAATATAACAATGAAACACTCCATACATCTCCCCATATGTTATAGCATTCATTGACACCAAGAATTTGATTTTCCCGGATCAGTAGACATGTTAGTTTCTTCACTAAAAACTTGCAATATATTCAAATATCACCAGAATTTTTCTTCAAAGCCACTGTCCCTACACTTATCATGAATCCATCCAAACTCATGCCAACAAACCTCCAATATGGTTCAGCCACCTCAAACCACACATTGATTCACAACTTCAAGATGCATAGTTTTTTTTATTCAACTAGAGCTTGCACAATAGACCTATGATTGTTTAGTAGTAGTAACTTTCCTCGTGCATGATAAAAGCACTTTGATTTTCATTTGGTATTGAAAAAAAAAACTAAGAACACCAGCAAAGGGTTAAAAAAAAAAGGTGCAAGAATTTGGTGCACACAGAAGGATATTATCACAGACCAAGATGCTTCGAAAAAAAATCCAGCAAAAAGGTTTAGGATTTAAGATAATTTGAACAGATTAAGCAAGTAGTTATCTAGTTCTTCATCCTAACTGAAGAAAAGAGTCTCAAACAATGTTATACAAACTCCTAAGGAAAAGATTCTACCTTGTAATTCGAATACTGTTGCACATACTGCCGCTCTTTTGAATCCATAATAGCCAAGTTTGTTTTTCGGCTTTCCATTTCTGTTTCACAGGGAGCTACATCGTCTTCCAGTTGAGCCAGTGTTCTACCCAATAACAAAAGAATCAATACCAAAAACAAAAACCAAAAAAAAAAAAAAACAATTGATCAAAACATGTAGCATCTGATAAACAAAAACCTAAACTCCTAATGCATCAAATAGATAATTCGTAAGATAGTTGGAGATATTAACCTTTTTAAATAAGTCAACCTAGAGATTGCTTTGCGTGTGTAATCTAGCAATACTTTAGATTCTTGCTGTACTTTCGACCTCTTCTCTTCTACTGCAGTTTTTCTTAAGGAAAGGTCTGACATAGCTACAAGGAAACTGAGATTGTTCCACTTCAGGTAAGCTAAGACATAAAGGAAGTTGAAAAGAAATACTTATATGATAGAGTAAACAAAGGGGTCACCTGCTTAATTCAGTATCTCTAATATTCAACAAGTTAGCCACACTAGCAAGAACTTGAGCAGAGGAAACCACGTTTGAGGGTAAACTCTCCTGGGCCAATCCCACATGCTCCAATATCTCTCGTATTCTTGCAGCTACAATCACATAACACTCATTCTCATAAAACAGTAAAAATATTTGAAGTAAATCACTGCCCTAAAAGACTCAGTTCTAAAAAACAAGACTGAGATTACCGTACAAGAACAGAAGATTCTAACCTCGTGAATCTATGGACAATCGTTTTTACAACAAAGTATACCCTCATAAACAACATCAATGCTCACTAACCAAAAATTCGAACCAGTACAGTTTCATTTTCATGGCATATAACAGCGGACATCAAACTTCAACTAAGGGAATCATTGTTGCCTTTTTAGATCTTTGCCATTTCAAGAGTACCAAGATTGGGACTTCAAATTTCAGTCGAAAATTGGGCTAACGAAAAACATGAAAATGGGTTAAAAAGACTGACCTTGAGCACGATATTCAGTAGCTTTCTGGCGGAAATCGTTGGCCACAATTGAAGCCGCTTGAGTTTTCGCTTGTGAGATGGTGGCAATGTTATGCAAATGGGCAATACTTCGAGGGGTGTATTCAAATTCAGGGACATCTTTCCCAACCGCACTGAATTGGGATTCAAGCCAAGATTTCACTTCTGCAATTCGATTCGCATCGAACCCACTGTTTCTTGATCCCTCAGAAGGAGATGGATCTCCTCCGCCCAATATATCACTCATTTCTGTGACTTCTCCTTCTCCAATCAACTTTTGAATTTCAAACAAAAATGTTTAAATTACCATTTTGATGAAAATAATTAATTAAAATTGGGAAATCGAAATCTTCAAAAAATACGATGAACACCAACAAATTCAAGACAATCAGAATACCCAGAAAAAAAATGGGTGGGTTTTTCTGAAATAATTTCGAAAGTTTTGAGTGAGAAAGAAGGGAAAAGAACTTGGATTGAAATTGCCGTCTAAAAGATTTGATCGTTGTGTATTTTAAAATCGACGAGTGACGACATTCTTTGGGTCTTTTCCCTAAAAAAAATTAATTAAAATAAAAGTGGACAAATTTAAAATTTTCAGAACATCTATGGACAAAAATATATCTCACGGATTTCTGAAATCCGAGTGTTTATTAAAATTAAACATTTGGATTTTGGAAATCCGAGTTTACATTTAATATTAAAATAATAATTTAATAAAGTTTGTGGAATAGTTTTAAAAAAATCAAAAAATGAACAGTGTTGTTCGGATTTGCGAAATCCGAATGCCATTAAAAAAAATAAATTGAGGCGCGATATTTTTGAACACAAATAAAGAGTCTATGACCTGGACTCCTTAAATAAACAGTAGTATTCGGATTTACAAAATCCGAATTCCCAAAAATGAAAATAGAAAAAAAAAAATTGAGGCGCGAAATTTTTGAATCCAAAAATCAGAATTAAGTAATCTGGTTACCCGTATTCGGATTTTAGAAATCTGAATGCTTTTAATTTTGGTTGGTAGAAGTAGGCATGTGCCATAAATTGGAGGACAAAAAAATGAATAAAAAAATCCAGAATTGACCAAACTTGGATTTTCAGAAATTCGAGTCTACGGTAATTCGGATTTAGGGAATCCGAGTTACTTACAGACTCAGATTTCAGAAATCCGAGTTTAACGTGCTATAAAAGAAAAAAAAATCAGACAGTTCTCATTCGAGAATTGAGTTAGATTTTCTGTTTCTGCAGCTCAAACAATGGCGAATTGGAGCTTTTGATGTATTCTTGCCACTAGATACGTGGGAATCATTATTTGAAAGAGGTTAGATTGCAAAATCATGTTATTTAGTTTAGTTTTGTATTATTTTGATTGTTAGAATGATGTATGTAAATTAGGGTTTTTGTTGGTTGGTTGTTTGGATATTTTAGGTATTGATTTTGAGGTTAGATATGAGAAATCATAGTTACTCATGAGATAGGAAAGTTGATTCATAAGTATTTTAGGATTTTATAGGTGGTTTGAATTATGAATGGAGTATGTATGGTATATTTTTTTATTTTGTTATTAAGAAATGATTAGATATTGATGTTTTTTTTAAACAGTTATCAATGGCATGTAATGTATCATACATGCTCAATTTGTTTCACACAAGCAAGTATATGTGATAGAGAATGGTAGCATCAACACTTTTTCGAATATGCCGGATAATGATTTGTTTGTTAAGGAAAGGTTGTCATATGAGGAATTGATTAGTAAGATTTGTATAACACTTGGTTGGGATCCAGCACACGTGAAACTCCACCTTTCTGTGATTTTTGATAGTCCCTGTGGTAGGCGTGTAGTGAAGATCAAGAATGATTCGCATGTAGAGTTCATGAACCGTGTATCTCCAATGTCATGTTTGGATTTATACATAGATTTGGAAGACATCACTCACGAAGAAAGAGAAGCGAGTTTGGAAAACAACGTGTCATTTGGTGGTTTTCCAAGGGAGGAACGTGCTAGTACTTCTCGAAACCGTGGTGAAGAGGAGACACCTTTATTTGCACAAGATGACTATATGGAAGAGTCGGATCTCGACTACATAGCTCCAAGCGAAAGCGAAGAAGATCGTGATCTCTCCGGAGAGAGTGATTTTGAAGAAAGTGATGATGAAAGATTGGAAAATGAGGAAAGGGATCTTAATCCATTGCCCCGACGCCATGTATATAGTAAGATTGGAAAATGGGATGCCTCGTGTGTGAACAAGGATGAGTTTGCTCTTAAGATGTAGGATGAGACGCCCAAAGGAATGGACATTGATGTTTGTTTTAAATCCCAATTAGAAGAAAAGCATGCTGTAAAATTATGGAACATCCATCATAAAAGGGAATACACGGTCGCCGCGAGTAGTCTAAAGACGTGGGCTAGCTGTACGGTACAGAATATTAAATGTGGAAAGTGAGGATGGTGAACCACCATGTGAGTGGAAGATGTGTGTGCCTTTGAAAGATCACGGCCTTGATGAAATTATGAGATGGCATGATGCACATAATTGCATGACTCCCGTGAATGATAATGACAATCGGTGTGTGCACGCGTCTTTGATTGCTAGACTCTTCAGGAGAAAGGTTGAGGACAACGTAGATTATACGGTGGCCTCGGCACAGAAAGAAGTGAAGACCTTATTGAAAGTAGATGTGCCATACAAAAGGGCATGGCACGGGAGGAGGAAAGCCATAGAAGCGGTCTATGGTGATTGGAACTCGAATTTTGAAGAACTTCCTAGGTAAATATCAAGTTTTATCTGTATTGTTATGTGCATTATTTTTATTTTTTTTTGTTACATGTATTGAAATATTTTAACTATGACTTGTTTGTTGTGTAGGTATATCGTTGCGCTTAAGTTTACTAATCCTGAGACTATAGTAGAGTGGGAATGGAAGGAGGGACAAGAAGGTTGGAACAGGGGAAATAGGACATTTAAATACGTCTTCTGGTCATTTGCATCAGTGGCTGCGACGTTTCTTGAATGTCCACCGGTCATTTGTATCGATGGAACCTTCTTGCGTGGTGGATACAAGGGTAAATTGCTTGTTGTGGTGGTCTATACCGCAAACAAGCATATTTTACCGGTTGCATTTGCGATTGTGGATGAGGAGATAGTAGAGAGTTGGACATTTTTTACAAGGAATTTGAGGTTGTGGGTTGTGCATGATAGAATCGTAAGTGTGATATCCGACCGGAATGCAGGGTTGTTAAGCGCAATGTCATAGATGGATGAATGGCATGATTTAGGAAATGGTGGACACTTTCTTTGCCTCCGACACGTTCGCAGCAATCTTGTGTCGTGATATAATAGTAAAAAGGTGAAGCGATTATGTTGGAAGATGGACACGACGCTTTTAAGAGTGAAATACAACCATATAAGGGCAAAGCTTATTGAATTCAAACCTGCTGCATGGGACTATCTTCGAGGGATTGGAGGGAGTAACTGGGCTCGACTAAAAGTCGGTCTTTGCCGTCGGGGCATAGTGACAACCAACATTTCCGAGAGTTACAACAATGTATTGAAAGGGATCCGGTTTTTACCAGTTAGAGCATTGATCGATGCAACCTTTCGCAAAACTGTGAAATTCTACAGAGAAGAATAATTGTGTGCGAGAAATTGCATGACACCGATCTTTCTGAGTTATGGAAAAAATATGAGAAAATGAACGACAAAGCAGCCAGTTTTCATGCCACCCCTTTTGATGGTGATGATGCTAGGTGGCAGGTTTTTACTACTACACGGCTAAGGGGTGGGTCTTTGCATACGGTGAACTATGATGAACATAGGTGTTCGTACAGGAAGTGGCAAGAGTATCGGATGCCTTGTACGCATGCACTCCAAGTTTGCCGGAAAAAAGTGGATCGACCTATTAATCTATACATAGTGTGTGGCGCCTTCCAGCATGACGCGGACAATTTGATTACACGGGTTTTGTTCCGTTTCCCAATAAGCAACAATGGCCGACCGTCAATTGGAATATCATTCCGAATTATGAACGTCTTGTTTTGCATGCGGGACCGGGTCGAAAACAAAAAAGGAGACATAGAATGCAAATGGATTACATGGGATGCCGGAGCCGGGGAGAATGTTGGAGATGTGGACAACAAGGCCACGATGCCATTTCTTGTCCTAACTCGCACCCAGGAGTAGATAGAAGACTTGTGAATGACAGCTGGAATTGAGAGACATTTAGTGTTCTTGAAAGTTATTTAGAATGACCATGTTATTTGGAATGACAACTGTTTAATTAGATGTCCTATAAATATTTGTATTGATAATTCAGATTGTAATGTTAACATTAAATTGTTCGGATTGTAATGTTAACATTGAATTGTTGGTGCTATGATTGTGCAAAAAACAAAAATGGACATTTTAAGGTTTTGTATAGTGCTCGGATTTCAGAAATCTGAACTTAGGCGTTTTGTATTACGTTCGGATTTCTGAAATCCGAACTAGTTGTTGATAATAGGTTTTGGGATTGTGCAAAAAACAAAAATGGACATTTTAAGGTTTTGTATAGTGCTCGGATTTCAGAAATCCGAACTTAGGCATTTTGTATTACGTTCGGATTTCAGAAATCCGAACTAGTGGCAAGTTCGGATTTCAGAAATCCGAACTAGTGGCAATTTCCTGCAGCAAAGTACTCGGATTTCAGAAATCTGAGTTGTTGCAATTTGTACTAAATTTGGATTTTGGATATCCGAGTTGAGGAATTCCATCCGGGAGTGTGCAATTTGTGGAGAAATAGGGGAGATTCGGATTTCTGTCTTCCAGATTTGTAGATATGGATTTCGTAAATCCGAGTTTGACGCGGACTATAAAAGGCCGGTCAACTCTTTATTTTAATTCAATTTCCCCAATCTTCCGAATAAAAAACCCTAAAACTACCCCCCTTTCCCCAACCGGTGACGAACTTCGCCGTGACCGTTCCCCTCAACGACTAACTCCCCTCTGCCCGGCGACTAACTCTCGTCCATTATCCCTCAACGACTCCTCCATCCCGCGACTGTGACATCAAACTCCGTCCGGCGACTATGACATCCAACTCCTCTACCGGCGACCGAATTGGCGGCGACTCACCTCCAAATTGAACTCCCATCGGTCAGCGACTCACTGGTAAGTAATTTTGTTTCTTTTTTTTTCCAATTTCTTTTCGTATATATTGAAATTATAATTTTTTTTATTTTTCCCAGAATTAGGATTTCTGTAATCCGAATTA